TGAAGAAAGTGTAATAAACTCCATAATTCTTTTAATGTATTTTGAAGTGGTGTTCCTGTTATTAATAATTTATTTTCTGTTGTAGTTCTCATTAATACTTCATATAATTGTCCTTCATTATTTTTTAAACGATGTGCTTCATCAACAACAGTATATTTCCAATGAAATTGATTAAAAAGATCTTGGTCTTTAATAACTAATTCAAATGATGTTAATAGAACATTAAATTTAATTGTTCCTTTTTTATTTCCAAAAATTTCTGTTTTTCTAATAATTGCTCTACTTTCACCATCCCCAGTATAAACAACACAATTAAGTTTAGGTGCCCATTTATTAAATTCTTTACTCCAATTACTGATTGTTGATAATGGAACAATAACAAGAAATGGTCCAATAATGTTATAATTATCATATAAATGTTTTATAAATGTAATAGTTTGTACTGTTTTACCTAATCCCATTTCATCTGCTAAAATGACATTGGTATTTTGAGAAAATGCATATGTTATCCAATTTACTCCTTCTATTTGATAGTCTCTTAATTTATTTTTTACTTCTGGTCCTTCTATAAATTTAATAAATTTTCTTGGTATTGGTATACTTCTTTTTTTTTCTTCCCACTCTTTAATTCTTTTATGATACTTTTCTATTTCTTTTAAATCATTTTCTTCTTTTAAATCACTTTCTTTTTCCCATGAGCATTCACTGTATTGTAGTCCAACCCATTTCACAAAGTACATAAGTTGTTTATCTGGTCCTTCTTGTTTATCAATAATACGTTCAACGTTTTTATATCCTTCAATAACTTCTTTTTGACTTTCCATCTCTACATTAATTGCCTCTATGTCTTCTTTTGGTGCTCCAATATAAAGTTCTGCTTGTTTCTTAAGATTTTTTATAAAATTCTTTACTTTAAGAGCTCCTTTCATTTCAATACTCTCTTCAAAATTAATCCATGTATTATGTCTATATGAAAAATTCATCCACTTAATTTCAAACTCTGCATTATTTTCAAAATCAAAACTAAGTATTTCTTCAAATCCAATTTCTTTCCCATTTTTGTTTCTGTAATCTAAAACTTTATCAATAGTATCTCTTAAATATGATACAGGGCTATATGCTTTTACTGGTGTAGTAATTTTTTTCTTCTTTGATACTTTGAGACTACCTTCAAATTCTCTATCAAAATCAATCATCCCAATATTTTTTCTCTCTCTAAGCCTAGTTTTTGGTCTTTCTAATATTAATTCTTCTTCTTCTTCTTCACTTTTACTTTCTTCTTTTTCTAACTCTTCACTCTCATTATTTTGTTTTTCATCTAGATATTCTTCACTCTTACTTCCATCATCTGCCTCTACTGGAACTCTTGTCTTTGTTTGGTTTCTTTGTCTTAAACGATGAATCATCACTGGATTACCAATAACTAATTCTTCTTGAGTTTTTGAAACTTTTTCTTTTCTTGTGGGGACTGTTTCTTGAACATTTACATCACTTTCATTATTATCTCCACTTTCTTCATCCATATCAACAGACATACTTTCATCACTACTCTCTATCTCTTCCTTTTTTTCATCTTCGCTCATTCCATTACTACTTTCTTCTTCTGTTTCTAACAAAGTGATTCTCCTTTCGACTTTTGAGTGAACTGGACTACTCATCAACAATCTGAAAATAATAAACCCTTCTACGTCTTTATTTTAGGTTTCTTTTTGTATTTTGGTCACCATGAAATAATAGTTTTAACAAAACAATACGTGGTTCAATCAACAATCAATTATTTCTCTTAACGAACTTCAATTTTACTAATAACTGATATATTTTCTCCTTTCAATAGAATTGTTCCAATCTTTCTTCTAGTATTAGTTTTTAAATATACTTCTTCAGTGTCTGTGAGAACTAAGTTTATGTACTGATCAAATCCCTTAAAAATAAATGTCTTATTGTACCAATATCTTATTTAATTTATTTTAATTAATATTATAAACAAACAGAAAGCGTTCCTTCAATCCTCAATGCTGTATTTTCAAATAACCAAATAGAAACTCTTTGTTTATGTTTTGCTAAGTTAACTATAAATTTAACTGGTAATATCATTGCTTTTGTCATTTTAGTACGATTCATTCTTTCTTTTAATAAATAAACTTCTGATATTTTTAAGATGAAAAAATTTTCTTATATTTTTTTTAATCTTTTTCAATTATTATGTTTTCCATGACAAATAACCTTTTATAATAATTGGTAACACGCCTCAGTCAATAATTTATAATCTTTCTTAAAAGAAACAATACTCTGGATTTGAGCACAATTATTCAATGTTATAAAACGTATATTATCTCCTAGGGCTAATGATGTAATTGACTGACAATCATTAATAGTAATACTTGATAATGATTGAAGTCTTTGTAATTGAGGTAATTCAACCAGACAAGGAAAATCTCTCAGTTGGAGCGTTTTTAAAGAAGAGGGTAAATTTAAAATAATGCTTTGACATTTAGAAATTTCTAATCTAGTGAGTTGGTTTAAACTAACAAACCCCTTCACTCCATTATTGTCAATATCATTCTCATCATAAATAAATCCGGAAGAAATAAATTCTTTCAAACAAGTAGGAACTTTGAGAATTCGTTTTCTAGATTCAAACGCAATTAATTTAAGACTTGTCAAATTTGATAACCCCTTAAAATCATAATGACTTTTCCTCTCCCCAAATTGCTCACTTAACGTTAACTGTTTTAGAGCTGACATTTTATTTAGTAAATTTTCATTTACACTATATAAAACAGTTACATTTTCAACTTCTGAAACTTGTTTAAGATTCATCACACAACCAGGGCATATTGCTCTTGGGAAATAACGAATAAACAAACAATTAAGATAATCTCTATATTTTTCTTCATCACCAGAATCTTCAGATACTGTACATCCAATACCAGTGATTACTCTATTAAAAGAATAAAACACCTTATTGTCATAAAGTAAATCATAGAGGATATCATAATTTTCATTACAATCAATAACCAACTTAACGTTTGAAGGTTTTAGTTCAACTATTTGATATAAGGTCTTATTGTCTTGAATTCTATTAATTTCGATATAAATGTTAAGATTATCATTGCACTTACTTGAGAATAAGGATTTAACTAACTCTTGATGATCAGTTAGTGTTAATGATAATGATGTTACCTTAATTAGTTTCATTAAAGGAAGTGAAAGCAATGAACTCAACACACCTGCAAGATATTTTGATATCTTAAATAAAGTTGATGCATCAATTTTTAATATCTCAAGTCTTTCCATTGAAAGAAGAATAGGCAATAGCTCAACACAATTCGGAATCAGAAAAGGAATAATTAAAGAATAAACGTCTCTTGAAATTTGTTCTAAATACGGAATATAGGGAACATCATTTGGAGTATAAATAATATTGTATTGTATTTCTGAATTATTTTCTTCATCTCCAATTACATTGGCATATTTTTCAAGACGAGAAGTAACTCGCCTTGCATTAGGGAACAATTTCAATGCCTTTTGTGTAAAATTCCCCTGATAACCAGGAATTTTCGTGATTTTTTCTAATACTGAGAAAAATCTTCGGTTAATAAGTTTGAGCGGTAAAATGTCTTCTATCGTCACAAATTCTATTACTTTGTTTATACTATCATCATCTAATTTAAAATATGATGTAAAACTTGTCATTTTGCTTCTCTAAAATTAAAAAATGGTTTTTGAAGATGTTTCAATAAAATTTCAAAATTATCTATTTTTAGAATACTTTTTATTACTTCTAAAGATTTTGTCAATTTGAAATGGCTTTCTTAAATAAAAATATTTAGAAGAAAATGACACAAGATTCAGGAAATAAAGAATAACTGCTTTTTATTTTTTTGAAAATAATTAAATAATTGGTTCTCTTAATAAATAAAAAGATCTTAAAAACATTGTTTTACTTTAAAAATGAGTAGTGTTTGTTTTAGTTTTTATAAATCTTAAATTATAGGTTATGCACTTTTTTAATTAATTAACTAATGTAACAACAATAATTAAAAGAGAAAAGTGACTTACTGATTTAGGCATTAGATGATTTTACTAAAACCTCACTTGAAATAACGGCTTCTGATATTATTTATGATGAAGAGATAGACTTTGTTGGAAGAGGCCAATTTGGGTCAGTCTATCGTGCTCAAATTAAAGGGCTTAATGTTGCGGTAAAAGTTTCTCATGAAACCAAATTTAGTGCTGACCAACTTAAATCGTTTGTCACAGAAATGGATTTAATGAAAAAATGTCATCATCCAAATGTTGTATTGTTTATTGGTATATCCATTGACTCTGGAAGAGTTATGCTAATTACTGAACTTCTTGCTGGAGATCTTGCTCAATTAATTCATCACCGAGATGAATCACTTCATCCAGAAATTTATAATTGTGTTTTAACTACTGAACTTAAACTTAATATAATTGAGCAATGTTGTAAAGGAGTTCAATGGCTTCACAATGGTATGAATTTAATTCACAGAGATATTAAACCTGCTAATTTCTTGATCGACACTTCATTTCATGTTAAAGTATGTGATTTTGGATTTGCTGAGATAGATACTAATCAGAGTGGACAAGCTAAGGGTTCTCCTCTGTATTGTGCTCCAGAGGTTTGGGAGAAAAAATGTGAAAAGGCAGTTGATGTCTATGCACTTGCTATTACTATGTGGGAGTTGTTTTATGAAAGATTACCTTTTGAAGAATTTTTAAAGGATCCAGATAAATTCAGAACTTTTATTGCTAATAAAGGAAGACCAATTTTACCAAATACTTTTGAAAAAGGAGTGATCAAAAAGGGAGAAGAAAAAGCCATGGTAACTACGTTAATGAAAATACACCAAAAATATGGAGACCTTGCAAAAGTCATCCCTGATTATATTGAAAAAGTTATGGAATGTGCATGGGAACATGACCCTACAAAAAGAATTGATATTAATAAAATGGTTGACATGATTGACGAAGCTAAACTGTCTTACACTCTTGGAAAAAAATCTGCTTCTGCTTGGTGGAAAAAATATTTTTCATATAAAGGAAATGACATTGAAACAACTGTTCCTGTTTCTGATTTTATTGCTGCACTGAAGGAGACTCATGGAATTAAAGATTTCGACCAATACATAGCTGAACAAGTATTGAGTGATAATAACGAAGTTTCGACTACCTTTTTTGGTCATTTGATTCACTTATTTGGTGTTTTTTATAAGTCTAAAGATGTGTTTAAATCAATGATCGAAACAATACAATCAGATTGGTTTTTTAATACATTTACAAAAGATCAATCTCAAGCTCAATTAGAAGGTAGAGTTGATGGAACATTTTTGATTAGAATCTCAACAACTGACCCAAAATATCCTTTTACACTTACTAAACGAACAAATGGAAAAACCACACATTCTAGAATTGAATGTGTTTCACCTTCCAAGGATAAAATTAAGTTTATACTATCATCTAAAACAAAAGTATATGAAGCCAGTTCATTAAAAGAGTTAGTAGATGTAATGAGAAAAAATAACTTTGTGAAAGAGGCATGTCCAAGAGAGGAAAAGTTAAGTGAATATTAATTTATTTTCCTTATCATTTTTTGTTTATAACTTTTCTATTAAATTATTTAAAATTGAAAAGGTTTAAGATAAACCCTAAAACAAAAAAAACATAATTTACAAAATTATTTTTCATTATTTTTTCTCTGTTATTTCTTAGATAATTTAACTTTGAAATGCAGGGAAAAAATAATGTAAAAAACACTCTTTTTCGTCCCTGCACCAAAGCTTTCATGAATGAAAACTGTGCAACCAGACTTAAAACACTACCACTTAAATTTAATACTTATTGAGCGTTAGTTTCTTCAGCAACTTCTTCTTCATCATTTTGGACATTGAAGAATTTGAGTTCGAATCCATCTTTCTTATCAGAGACAACTCTTAACCATTCTCTAAGATTGTTCTTCTTAAGATATTTCTTCATAAGATATTTCATATATCTCTTGCAAAGTTTAGCAGAGGAAGTAGTAATAGTAACTTTCTTATCAGCAACTTTAACTTCAATTCCTTTGGTGTTGCCAGCTCTTCCTTGAACCTTAATGGTTTGTCTGAAGAATGTAACAAGTTTCTTTGGTTCAATGAAATCAGTACAGTTAGTTAAATCAATAGTGCAACTGAATGTCTTTTCTTCAGTCTTATTGATCTTTTTCTTTTCAACAAGAACTTTATTGGCAGCTGGAGCTTTAATAGTCTTGGACATCTCTGCTAATTAATTTTAATTTAACCCTCTTCCTTTTATAGTTCTTTCTATGGTTTTTCTTTTAACTTTAATTTTATTATTTTTAACTATTTTTATTTTATTATTAAAATGTTATTTGTATTACAATATAATTATGTTTTTCTTATTTTTTTAGAATTTTATAATATTTCTTTTCTTCTTTTACTTTTAGATTTTATTTATCTTAGAGATCCTTTTTCAATGTATTTTTAATAAATATTATTATCCAATAATCCATCAAAATTTAAATAAATACAAATTACCTCAATTATTTTAATTCATAAATAAAACCCATTTATTGAATTAGATATCTGTTTTTTAAAGAATTATATCATCCGTTATAAGACCCTTTTCATCTATCTCCTTCATTCAGGTTTTTTTGGGTCTTTCAATTTTATCTTTTATAATTTTTACAAGTCTTTTACTATCTTCACTTAGTGTTTCTGATCCTCTTTCTGTTATTTCGGTTTCATTTTTATAACTTTCATCATTAATATTATTGACATAACTATTTTCATCTTCTCTATACTTTCATACTCTTCAACCGACAATCCTTTTGGTTGATAATTACTATCAGACCTATAACAGAATATCATATTCATATATAAAACGATCAACATTTTCAGTTTCTTTTATCAAATAATTCTTTTCTTCTTCTTTTGTTTTCTTTTTTGTTATGAGTACCATTTTTATTCTCTCATAACTATTTCTTATTAGCTTTTTATTCAATTTCTTTGTTTTTATTTTATTCTTTACTTAATGTACAGTTTTCTTTAAGAGTGGTACATATTATATTTTTAATTTTATTAATGACTTTTTTTGGGTCTTTTTTCTTTCTTTTGACATTTTTGGAATATTTCTTACTTGCCTATTAATTCTTTTTGGTCTTCGTCCTTTGATATATGAACTTTTTCCAATAAAACAACAAAATTATATTAACAGTACTGTAAATTAATGTCATTTAAAAATAACAAAATGGTCTTTAATAATGAATGATAAAATAATAAATAAGATGATTGTTATAAATTGTATTTAATTATTTATGTTTCTTTATTTTGTTTTTATATTCATCATTTTGTTTTAAAATGGATGAGTTAATAATCAAGATCACTCTACTGTATAAAGAAGAAGTAGAAATACTTCAATTTATTCAATAATTAATTGATGAAACAGAATGAAGAAGATTAGTATTAGAAAAAAAAACAAGAAACAATAAAGAAATAGAAACAATGAAGAATAAAATGAATAAGATAATAGAAGAATGTAAAACAATGAAGAAACAGTTAATAAAATTGAAAAAAGAATTTAAACAATAAAATTATTCACATTAAACAAATGATAATGAAAAATCAAATAAAAAGAACATTAAAAGAAATTGATAAAATAACACAAGAATTTAATAAGAATAAAGAAGAATTGGTTGTATAATATATTAAATAAATAAAGATAAGAATATAACAGAAAATACACAAAGAATAAAGAGAATAAAAGAAAAACAAGAAATAGAAATAAAAGTATTTAATATACAAAATAATCAAATAATAATAAAATGAAATTAATACAACAATATTTAAACAAAATAATAAATAAAGAATATATAATAATTAATAATGAAAAATACAAAAAGAAATAAGAAGATATAATAAATATAAAATTGATGATTATGAACAATTCAAAACATTTTTATTTTAAATATAAACAAAGAGAGAATAGAAAGA